GCACTCTCCCTCCCCGTTGCTCTTACATGTATATCTCCTAGCTTGCTGCCATACAAACAAAAACGAAGATAACAGGTAAAGTAGATACAGGATGGAAAAGTGATCTTCTGTTGCTGGTGGACTCAAGACCGTAGAACAAAAGAAGGAGATAGAAGCAGAAGTTAAGAACCCACCTATCTGAGAAATATAAAGCAGCCCATGTGTTTCAAAAAGCTGGTGCACACAGTATTCACCTATCCATGAAATACCTTCCTGTAAGTGCAAAAGTAGACAATTATAAATGATGAACCAGATCACAGAAATTTTAATGGACCATGGACATACGCCTAGCACTATAAAGTATTAACTGGCAGAGCTTCAATATTCCATTAAGTGGAGGGGAGAGAACTTAGTTTGATCCACATATGCCAGTCCTAATACAAATAAATGAAACCATTTTACATTAGCAGTCCCTACAAAAAAGAGTAAGTGACAAAGTGGATTGGCAGACAAGGAAAACAAAATGACCAACCAAGTAGTTTATGAAAAATTGGCAGTTCAATGGCAAGCAAAACCAAAAGACAATATAAGGCCAGCCAGCAGAATTAAATCATGTTTAATTGCACAATACTGAGACTATATAGGAAAAAAACCCACAAAGATTAAAAATTATAGAAATCCAGTCTATTAATTTCATTGTAAACACTTTACGCTTTGTCCTCTTTCACCCTGCCCCAAACCAGACATATTAGATAGCCTTCAAAAAAGAAAATAAAAATTTAGAAACCAGAACTTCATTTGCCAGTATTTCCAGAAAAACTAAATGCTGGCTACATTGATGGTTTCTCTTAGACTCATCTGCAATACTACAGCAAATATTTTAAGCAACTCCACATTCGCTGGAGTAGTACTTCCAAACAATTTAAAAAAATCCACGAGTTAAACTTGGTTTGCTGAATCTCAAAAAAAAAAAAAAAAGAAGGTATGAATATTGAGACCAAGAACATTTAAATTTAACAGTGTGACAAAACATCTTGGGTTTGTAGTTTTTCAGAATGAACTTTCTTCTGCACTCTGGACACAACAATACAAAAAATATACCATTATTAATGAGACAAAATGTAACAAGAAAGAAAAAGGTCTGCAGAAAGGAGGATATAAATTTAAATAAGCTCTTGGGTAGCCTTATCAAGTCATTGTTACCACAGCATTTGTGCAGGATTGGATGTACATTTTTGGTTTTCCAAAGGTTAAACAAAACCACTGAACACTTTTCCCAACTTTCAACTTCATTGAAAAACACAAAAATTGACATTCAATCTCACATTTTATCAAAAGCAGCAATACGGAAAAGATGAGTTCTACAGAAAACAGCAATTATCTTTTGTTAACAGCTTTAAAAATCTTCACTTCTTGAAAATAAGAACAAATCTACCATGTTTTGAGTTTGTTTTTGAAAAAAAATGCTAGAAAAACAAAAATCAGTAAAACTGCAAAATATTAGTTTTCACTTAGATCATAGAAATTATTAAATGAAAGTCCTTCTCAAAAGAAAGTATTGCGTTTTCATTCTTCTGTAAGAAATGCTTTTCAAATGTTGCTGGGTTTTATTTCTTAATATTGCAGAAGAAAATAGATTCACTCACATGTTAAATTTCAAGACTATACTCTTCAGCTAGTGATTCCAAAAAAGGTTTTCCATCTGGCCTAACTTGTAAGTTTTCATCCTAGTATGAAAAAAGCTTGAAAAATCTAAATAAAACAGCCATATCAAGATATAGGAAATGCATCAGTAAGGTAAAAAAGTAAATAAAATTTAGAATTTGTTATTTGTTGTGCTGTGCATCAGTCCAGAGAAATACGAAGAGTGTGATATGTAATTTGAGGCAGAAAGATTATTTCATGGAAGAGTTCACTTGTTTCCCCAGTTACCTATAAGAGATGGTAACAATTTTCTGCATAGTTGCATAGAGAAAACAATCAGCAGAACATTAGGTATGGCAGGAATGTATCAGGCTTCACTAAATTACTTAAGTTTCTTCAAATACTTAGGTGCTTATTACTTCACCAATTGTTTTGCAGAAACTGTCAGGCACTTTGTGAAAAACAGCTAGTGCATTTAATTTGACACGACTTTTGAAGGTACAAAGCTTGTAGCAACTTAAGCTTTTTTACAATTCAAAATTAATTCTTGACTAGAAGCCAAGAGAGAAACAGGTCACCATAAAAAGGTTAATCTGTCAGAAAACATTAAAAAAGGGAATATGACAGAACTGTTTTGCAGTTTTAGCTACACATTAATTGAAAACTGCAGAACTTGTGTAATACAATCACTTCAAAAATTTAAATTAAATCAGATCAGAGATCAGATTCTTTTTAAAGACTCTTAAAATTCTGTGCTCTAAAACATTTAAAATTACTTTTCAGTACCTTTTCTGAAAGATTTTCAACTTCTCTGAAAATACTAGAGTCTTGACAAGAAGAGAGAGTAGACAGGTCTGAGAAGCTAGGCCACACGATCAGACCACAGTTAAGGATTCATCAACACACTATTACTGCGTAAGTAGTTGCTAATCCAACATGTTAGCCTTATGCTTTGCCAACAAAAATCTACACAGCAGTGAAGAAACTTAACTAGAGAACTGACACAACTGCAAAATAACCGAGAACAATTGTGTCTGGTCAGCCACATCAGTCTCTCAGTGCAGATCCAGACCAATCAGGTATTCCCCTCAACAGCAGTTATTGCTACTCAAATCTGTTATCTCATTAAACTCACCATTAGAGTCAACAACCACAGAAGAGGTGACTGGGCTACCAAGAAAGCAGTATCACTGCAGCTACAGCTTGAGCAGTAAATCCAGAAGTAAAAAATTTGTTCTATTTTTTTTACCCTAGTTTTTTTTTTCTTAGTAGCTTCTACTACTAATAAACAGTATTAGGTAGTAATTTGGAGTATATTTTTCCCTCTCTGCTAAACTGATGCTTGTTCAAACTATACCTTTTAAGCACTGAATTTAAGAGTACATTTTAGATCTTTTGAAGTTGACTGGAAAAGGACCCACTCAAACCTGAAACAGATTTTTCCCATTTTACCCTGCTGAACCTGAACTTCAGAATTGGACCCAAAGAGTTCTTCAGATCTCAGTCTGTGGAAACTAATCTACGAAAACTGCTAACAGGTTTCAGGAAAGAAAAAAATCAAGATGAAAAATAAGCACAAAATGTCAATACCAATGATACCAAGTGCAGGACACCAGCTGACGCACTAAATACAACTGCATTGGTTAATCTTTTCTGCCAAAGGAAACAGACTGGTCATACTACATCTTTGCCTGTCTGTCCCATTAAACTTTGGTTCTCCATCTTGTATCAATCAAGCTTAAAAAAAGTGGAAGATGCACACAGAGAGAAGACTTCAGAAGGATTCGGTTGTTAAACACCTCGCTGGGCAGCCAGTGATTACACAGCGGTAGTTTAATAAATCATCTCTTATCTGACAAGGATGCTTTCAGAGAACTGTGTTTACTGTAGAAAGAGAGAAAATAAAACTCAGGTTTTGTTAGTTCATCTGGATGGAAAGTTGATCTGAATTCCAGCTCATTGGCCTAGATCATTCTTTTCAAGATATACTGAGAGGGTAAATTTAGGAGAACTAAAAATGGAGTGCTTTACCTACTTGGCTATTGTACTTTAGGTGTGCACTAAGATCTAAAGGGATTCTTATGGATTGTTTAATAGCTGCAGACAACTGAACTGGTCCAGCAGGACCCTGAAGGAACAGTACAGTACGGAATATGCATGTGGTGGATTGATCCAGGCTGAATGCCAGGTGCCCAAAGGCGCTGTATCACTCCCCTCCTCAGCTGGACAGGGGAGAGAAAATATAACAAAAGGCTCCTGGGTTGAGATAAAGGCAGGGAGAGATCACTCACCAGGTACCATCACAGGTGAAACAGACTCAATGAGGGCAAATTGGTTCCATTTATTACCAATCAAATCAGGGTACAATGAGAACTAAAACTAAATCTTAAAAACACCTTCCCCTCACCTCTCTCTTCTTCTCAGGCTCACCCTTCACTCCCTATTTTCTCTACCTCCTCCTCCCTCCAATAGCACAGGTGGACAGGGAATGGGGTTTACAGCCAGTTCATCACACTCTGGCTCTGCCTCTTCTTCCTCCACAAGGAAAGGATTTCTCACACTTCACCCCTGTTCCCATGGGAAACAGTCCTCCATAAATTTCTGCAACATGAGTCCTTCCCACAGGCTGCAGTTCTTCACAAACTGCTCAAGCATGGGTCCCTTCCATGGGGGGTACAATCCTTCAGGAACAGACTGCTCCAGTGTGGGTTTCCTATGAGGTCACAAGTTCTGCCAGCAAACCTGTTCAAGCCTGCATTTCTGTCTCTCCATGGGGTCACAGGTCCTGACAGGAGCCTGCTCCAGAGTAGGCTTCCCATGGGGTCACAGCCTCCTTGGGGCATCTACCTGCTGCAGTATGGGGTCCTCCCTGGGCTGCAGGTGGACATCTGCTCCCCCCTCTGTAGCATGCAGGGGGACAGCCTACCCTACACCTTGGTCTGCACCACAGGCTGCAGGGGAATCTCTGCTTCTGTGTCTGAAGCACCTCCTCCCCCTTCCTCACTGACAGTGATGTCCGCAGGGCTGTTTCTCTCACACAATCTCACTCCTCTCTTCAGCTGCAGGGTGTTTTTCCCTCCCTTCTTAGACACGTATCCCAGAGATGCTACCACCATAACTGATAGGCTCAGCCTTGGCCAGTGGCAGGTCCCTCTTGGAGATGGCAGGTCCCTCTTGGAGATGTCCCTCCATTGGACACAGGGCTAGTTTTAGCAGCTTCTCACAGAATTCACCTCTGTAACTAACTTGCTACCAAAACCTTGCCACACAAACCCAATATAATCCAATCACAAAGCAGTAGTATATATGCAGTCGTTAAGTGCTCCCTTTGCTCTAAGGCACAAAGCATACAGATCTGACCAAAGCATCAAAAATACCTGCAATACATTCTTTACAAACCTCCTCTGCAGGTTTACAGCCATCTGGATGGTCCACTAGCACTGGTGGCAAAATCCCGATCCATTGCTGTAGAGCACCTGTGGCAGGAACCATAGAGCAACAGACTGGCCTAGGACATTCCGACATAAACATAGAAGCAAAAGAGGTCTTCCAACCACAAGGTCTTAAGGCTGTCCTAGAAGAAAAACAGAAATTCATGTAAGTTCCTAGCTCAGCTCTGGTAGAGTTTGAGGTGGAAGGGGAAGAATGTTTCACATTAAAGATTTCAAAATCCAAATTCCTGTGCAAGGGAGAAGGAGTCAAAGATTGTTTCTAAAAAGAGGCAGTGAACTGAGCTTGTGAGGAAAACAACATATGCAGGGTAGAGTGGAGAGGTGGAACAAGTCATCAACATTTTTTAGCCTTTCAGATGATATGATTTAAGTGGGAGGACTGCCTGTCCTCCCAAATAAGCAGTTATCTATTTTTGAGTTCTATATATGTCATCCTCTATCCAATCATGAACACTTAGCACAACAAACTATGAATTGTTCTCAATAAGGCTAGAAAACAGCCTCCTCAACAGCACACATTCACATGAGCAGCTCTCCAGACGATCATTCTTTTGGACTAAATTTGCCATACATATTCAAGTTTATAGATGTAGGGGGTTTTACATTCTTTCATCTCTCGCCCACAAGTTAAACATTAGCATTTATAATGACAGCTTTTGTAAAAAAACCCCGTGATATTATACTAACATAGACCTGATGCTTAAGAAGTAATGTTTTTTCATTTCTAAAAAAAAAGTGACATCTTAAAAATGATGCCTGAGCCTTTCCAAGTCTTATCTGTTTAGCAATATTGAATGAATTCCTTCCTTTATGCAGTTAATACAGCAATGTCTGAAGGAAATTCTAAGCAGCTGAAAAGTAAAGATTATATCATAACAGACAAGAGAGGAGGTTTGTTCAATTTTTAATGCAATTGTAATTTGTCAGCACTTAGGTAATATTTGCCATATATTATATGAGTTTATATCTTGTATTTGCCATATTATACATGAGCCTACTTATTCAAGTTTATTGCTCTACCTGTTTAAACTGTTAGCTGTATGTACCTGTCCAGATGAAAAATTATGTACAAGGGAGAAAAAAAATACGATGCTGACACTGTGACAACATGACAGTATGGGGGAAGTACATGATAAGGAAAGCTAAGATTGGCAGTGATAGAAAAGGTGTTTGTCAACTGCTTATTCTGAAACAAATTATTATGCCAGTACTGAAGCAGGTGAAGTAAGTATAGTACTTGGCAGTTTCCCATTTATTTGCATACCAAAGTAGAAAGGGAAAATGTCTCAACTCCTAATTTTAATCTCCACTGGAGGACAGATTACCAAAATACTGGTAAAGTATACTGATAGAATAGGAATACTAAGCAGAAGTGGCTTACAGTGTGATTTTTAAAAGAACTGGCTAAGGATCTCCCAGAAATTATACCAGTTTTTACCAAATCTGAAAAAAATAGGGTAGTTTCAAAGGCCAGAAAAATATGATCTAAGACATACCCAGCAGGGCACCTAACATAAATCATGTTTGTTTCCTTTCTGAACATGTTAGTATAAGAGATCATGACATCATCACAGCAAATTTGTTGGTGCCTTCATGAAGGTTAAACACAGGCTTCCATGATATATCTGACTAGACTCTTCACATTGCACTGTAACTTGCAATACACACACCAAAAAAGTCAGTGTTGCTTATGTTAAATTAGCTTTTTGTGTATTACTTTTCTTCAGTAAAGCTCAAGTGCCTTACAGAGGCAGAGAACAAGGTTCATTTTTACACATGGGGAAACTAGTCTGTTACTGGCTAAGTGGCTGGCATCTGGGAGCAAATTTTCTTCTATCTTCTCAAGAGTTTTAACTGATATATCTATCTATACATCTTATCAGGTTAGATGAAGATGCTTATTTAGTAATTTTGCTAACTCATATAGTTTTTCAAAGGAGCCTAAGATGGCAGGCTCTTTGTTCAGTGCTGTCCAGACACTGAATAGAAATAGCCCTCATAAAACACAAAACTAAAAAGCAAACAGTGAGAGCAGGACACACAGCGAATGGTCCATGTCGCCATTAGTAAGCAAGACACATCTACCAATGGTAGATGTTTGCTTATTTGTAGTGAGCTTCCACACACTTAAAAGCTTGTGATCTCCCTTGATCTCTTCTTTGGGTTACAAAAATGCCAATTCAATCATTCCTTCTGCACATACCATCTTTTCTAAATCGTCTGTCATTACCATTACACTCCTGAGGCAAATCAACTGTGCCTACAGCTTTCTAGAAGTACAGTGGCCAAAACTGATAAAAGTACTTCAATTCCACAATATAGAATGGAGTGAAAGGTTCAACTTCACATCCTCCACATTATATTATTTAGTCATACCAATACATACACACACCTCTTCTTTGTGAACAATTCTGCATTGTTAACTCTCCTTTTATAATCTGTGGTGAGGAATGGGATGGTAGGAACAACTAAACAGTTGTTCTCCATATTTTATTTTATTTTGACCTCAACATAAAGTATTTCACTTATTCGTGTAAATCACATCCCATTCTTTTAGGCTATCTTTCCAACATTTAAGACTTTCCTGAATTGCCATCCCAGCTTTGTGTAACTGCATTTATTCCCAAATACATCTTGTCTTCAGATTTCATAACCATATGCTAATTACCCAGTTCATGAAGAAGAACAGTAAGCTGAAACAACTACACAAAACCCCATGCAATATGCTTTCCTTGTTGTAAGTGAACCACTGAAAAAACCTCTGGCTACTGTTAACCTAATGATTTTACACACATCCTAAAATAGCTTTTTTTATCTGGGCCATGTTTCCTCTTACTCTGTAAGAGTATCACATGTGGCTTTCTACAGTCCACAAGCTTCCTGTTGCAGAGGATGTTACACTGGCTTGATGATGCATTTCTAATCTTCACAGAATCACTGAATGGTTTGGTATTGGAACTAGATGATCTATAAGGTCTGTTCTAATTCCCCTGCCATGGACAGGGACACATTCCACTAGAACAGGTTGCTCAAAGCCCCATTCAACCTGGCCTCAAACACTTCCAGGAAGGGGCATCCACAACTTCTCTGGGCAGCGTGTTTCAGTGCCTCACCATCCACTCAGTAAAGAATTTCTTTCTTATATTTAATCTGTATCTGCCCCTTGTCCTATCACTCTATGCCCCTGTAAAAAATCCCTCTCCAGCTCTCCTGCTGGCCCTCTTTAGGTACCGGAAGGTCTAAGGTCTCCCTGGAGCCTTCTCTTCTCCAGGCTGAACAGCCCCAACTGTCCCAGCCTGTCTTCCATAGGAGAGGTGTTCCAGCCCTCTGATCATCTTCGTGGTTCTCCTCTGGACTCACTGCAGCAGCTGCACATGCTTCTTATGTTGGGGGCTCCAGAGCTGTTTGCAGCATGCCAGGTGGGGTCTCACAAGAGGAGAGTAGAAGGGGAGAATCACCTCCCTGGACCTGCTGTTACTTTTGCTGCAGTCCAGGACATGGTTGGCTTTCTGGGCTGCAAGTGCACATTGCAGCTCACATTGAGCTTCTCGTCAACCAACAAAACCATACTCCACCCAACCTGTATTTGTACTCCAGGCTGATTCCTCACCCTCGGTTTACATACGGGGCATGGCATTCTACGATATGCAATATCCCTTTTGCCAGTTCAGGTCAGCTGTCCTGGCCATGCTCCCTCCCAGCTTTTTGTGCACCCCCTCACTGTCAAGAGAATGAGGCACTAAAAAGTCCTTGACTTGGAGAAAGCACTACTTAGCAACAACTACAACATCAGTGTGTTATCAATATTATTCTCATACTGAATCCAAAATACAACTCTGTACTAGCTACTAAAAAGAAAATTAATTCTATCCCAGCTAAAACCTAAAAATGAAATTTTTCAGGAGAATCCAATATTCTGAGCTTTTATTTAAACCTAAACAAATTTTAGCCAGTCATTCTAATATGCTGACCAGATTCGCAGTCACAATATTTTTAAAGTGCAAAATATAATTGTCTCATATTCAAGCTTCTATACTGAATAGCCTCAATATTTCCATTCCTATTATACAGAGAACTTTCTTCTGACACATTTAATAACAGCAGCAATCATGCAGAGCTATCTCTGCACAGTATCTTTTCCTAATTGTAACACCCCACTTACCACTTTCACCTCTTCCTAAATATAATATGGATTGACTGTATGATTTTTCATTCATACGTTATCTTTCCAGCTTTTTCAATCAACTTCTGTTTATTCACTGACACTCCTACACACACACAAAAAACCATGCAGCTGCCATAAAGTAAGGAGCCAACTCCACTGATTCAACTTATTTTTCTACCACATCAGTACAGTGGTATGACCCTGGACGTGGTCAGAAACATCAGCGCAAGAAAGTGAACAGCAAAACATGAAAAGGAGAAAAAAATTTAGTAGCCTGCCATTAAACTCCAGAGAAAACAGATTTATAACACTGAGAAAACCACATCTTCTACCTGTTGTTCTTGAGGTGAGCAACAATATTTAAAAAAACCAGCACAAAACCACCACAGTTTTATTCCATAGGTCTTCATGGTTTTATCTTATACAGAAAGACAGCAAGAGGAAAAAAATGAATTGAATTCTTAATGGAGACAATCCAAAGTTTTTTTCCCTGCATGCAATTTGTCAGGAAAAAAAAGATTCATAGATATCTTTTATAATAGAATCAGCAAAACCATAAAGACAGGTATGTGTTTAACAGGTGTAAAGTACACACTGCTATGATACTATCTCCCAAAACTCAGAAAAAAGTTGACGAGCTAACACTTACTTTGATCAGACTGACAGCTAAAGTGTATGCCATTACTTTTCTCGGCCTTGACCAATAGCTTGTTCACCAAACAAGCAATGATTCTGGCAAGTACAGCCATGCAAACAACACAGCAGCACCTTCTTCTCACAGGCCTCCCGCTGCCTCCTGTCTTCTGGGGACACTGACTCAAAGCAACACAAGAAGTGTATGAAAGGGACCAAGAGTGACTGAACCCACAGAGGTATTTTAAAGTAAACATGATTTTTAGAGATCAACTGTAAAATGCACCCCAACCCCCACCCCCAAATCAAGACCATTGCAAAGCT